CACTCCCCAGAGTGGCATACGAGTGGTTTGCCAACCTCCGAGAGTGGCGTGGGAGTGGTTTGCCACCCTCCGAGAGTGGCGTGCGAATTGTTTGCCACACCTTAGAGAGGGTTGGGAGTGGTTTGCCACCCCCTAGAGTGTCGTGCAACTCGTTTGCCACCCACTGAGAGTGGCGTGCGAGTGGTTTGCCATCCCCCCGAGTGGTGTTCGAGTGGTTTGCCACCCTCCAAGATTGGCGTGCGAGTGGATTGCCACCCTCCAAGAGTGGCATGCGAATAGTTTGCCACCCCGCAGTCTGACGTGCGAGTGGTTTGCCACCCTGCAGTGTGATGTGCGAGTGGTTTTTCACCTTCCGAAAGTAGCGTGCGAATGGTTTGCTACGCTCCAGAGTGGCTCGGGAGTGGTTTGCCACCCCCTCGAGTGGCGTGCGATTTGTTTTCCACCCCTGAAGTGGCATGCGAGTGGTTTGCTACCCCCCCGAGTGGCGTGTGAGAGGTTTGCCACCCTTCCAGAGTGGCGTTTGAGTAGTTTGCCACCCCCCGAGAGTGGCATGCGAGTGGTTTTCCACCCCCAAAGAGTGGCGTGCGAGTGGTTTGCCACCCCCAGAAGAGTGGCGTGCGAGTGGTTTGCCACCCACCAAAGTGGCGTGCGAGTTGTTTGCCACCCCCACGAGTGGGGTGCGTGTGGTTTGCCACTCCTCAGAGTGGCGTGTGAGTGGTTTGCCACCCCTCAAGAGTGGCGTGCGAATGGTTTGCCACCCCCCAGAGTGGCTTGGGAGTGGTTTGCCCCCCCCTCGAGTGGTGTGCGAGTGGTTTGCCACCCCATGTGAGTGGCGTGCGAGTGGTTTCCCACCCCCTTGACTGGTGTGCGAGTGGTTTGCCACCCCCAGAGTGGAATGCGATTGGTTTGCCACCCCCCGAGAGTGGCGTGCGAGTGGTTTGCCACCCACCGAGGTTGGCATGCATGTGGTTTGCCACCCCCCCTATTGGCGTGCGAGTGGTTTGCCACCCCCCTAAGTGGCGTGCGAGTGGTTTGCCACCCTCCGAGAGTGGTGCGTGAGTGGTTTGCCACCCTCTGATAGTGGCATGCAAATGGTTTGCCACGCCCAAGAGTTGCTTGGGAGTGGTTTGCCACCCCCCAAAGTGGTGTGCGAGTGGTTTGCCACCCCCCAGAGTGGCGTGCGAGTGGTTTGCCAACCCCCGAGAGTGGCGTGGGAGTGGTTTGTCACCCTCCGAGAGTGGCGTGTGAATGGTTTGCCACCCCTCTGAGAGGCATGGTTAGGCTTTGATTTAGTACGGGTCAAGTGCAAAACTTCTAAAAGTAATACCTCTTTGCCGACTTGGAATAAGGTCCTACAATTCGATAGTCATGCTCACGAGTCGAACACCATTTTGAAAACCCACGAATTATGGAACTTAGGAGCTTTTGTTTATTATATAGAATCCAGGTCTCAGCATGGTTAGGCTTTGGTCTAGTATTGGTCAAGTGCAAACCTTCCAAATGAAATATCTCCTTGCCCACTTTGAAACAAGGCCTACAATTTGATAGGCATGCAGGGATGATTCAGCAAGATAGTGAGAATTGAGCAAGGTAAGGGTAATTAAGCAAGGTAGGGGGGATTCTGTAAGATAGGGAGAATTCAGCAAGGTAGGGTTAATTCAACAAGGAAGGGGGGACTCAACAAGGTAGGGTTGATTAAGCAGGGTAGGGTTGATTAATAAAGGTAGGGGTGATTGAGAAAGGTAGGGGTGATTGAGCAAGAAAGGGGAAAGACAACAAGGTTGGGTTGATTAATCAAGGAAGGGGTGATTCAGCAAGAAAGAGGGGATTCACCAAGATAGAGAGAACTCAGCAAGGAAGGGGAGATTCAGCAAGATATCGGGAATTCTGCAATTTTCGGGTGATTAAGCAATACAGCGGTGATTATTCAAAGTAGGGGATCATTAAGCAAGGTAGGAGTGAGAAAACAAGGTCGTGGGAATTCTGCAAGGTAGGGATTATTAAGCAAGGTGGGGGTGATTCAGCAAGGTAGGCTTGATTAAGCAACGTAGTTGGAATTCATCAAGGTAGGGGTGATTCAGAAAGGCAGGGGCATTCAGCAAGATAAAGAGAACTCAGCAAGGTAGGGGAGATTCAGTGAAATGGGGGGAATGGAGGGGGGTGGCAACATCGCAAAAAACGTATGCTCTCAAAACGATTGCGTAGCATTCGCACAACTGCTTGCAAACGTTTTGCAAACATGTGGGTGAAAATTCCTGGCGGACTTAGATTAGAACACTTGGCGAATGCTTTGACAACATTTCCCGAAACACTTTTTGGTTCACGACAGCGAATGCTTAGAGGCGTCTTTTCAGTAATCTCCATGGTTCGTTTACAAATGCATGGCGGTGTTCTTTCTACAACTTCTGCAGTGAACATGTAAATGCATAGAGAAGTTTATGTTCACCATTTTTAGTATTCAGCATGATTTGTTGCAAACGTTTGGCGGTGTTTTTTATGGATCCGTTTTTGCAGGCTGCAGTACCCTTTCGGGCATGGTTCAGTACAATTAGGGCATGCCTTGTTTGGATTTACTTATAATGCAACAAGCAAATTATTCCTGCACGTTACGTTCATAACTTGTTATCTCGAAATTAATCCAAGGTCGAAATCACCAACAATTAGGACAATGCTTACAACAACGAAGTAGCGCGACGCTGGATATTGAGTCCTGCACATTAGGTTCAAACATTGTAATCAAATTAGTTTCCATACGACAGCAATTACAAAAGCCGGCTTACCGAAGGAAATAGCTCGTGGTAGGCTACAAATTTCTGCATGTCATACGGAGACATTGTTGTGAAATTAGTCCGACGATCAAATGACCAGCGAGACTTACAATTGGACTTACATGGGGAATTATCTCGATGTTGGACAGAGTTACATGGCTAGCTGCGATAAAGACAAGCATCATGAGGACACATGTGAATCATTAGTTTGATTGATACGTCAAGTACCAACAAATGCCTTCAACCCCAATGGCGCATTAGCTCATGAACATGCAGATAAGAATGACATGGGTGAACAAGACTAGTCACCTATGAGCTGCTTGAAACGATAGACCATCGTGAAACGAGATCCTCAGCATAGGGCACACTAAGAACGACCGTGGTAATTGAAGCCTGTGGGAGAGGAAGGAGCTGCTCACTAGGGGGCGCGAAGGCGAGAGCGGGAGTTGAAACTGATGCAGATAGAACTCCCGAGGACTATTATTGTAAGTGACGTCTAGCTGGAAGGCATGAGAGGGTGCAAGGGGGCAAGTAAGGAAGGGATCAGAAGTGTGTGGTGGGCTGGAGTGCTGGCATGTGGGGTGCAGCGTGGTGGGCTGGGTGGTTGGGGCGAGGAGGTGGTTGAGCTGGATTAGCCGCTCTGGAACCGCTTGGCAGATTTTGATTGGTTGGACGAGGTGCAGGGGCTGAGTTGGATGAATAAATTTTGTTGGGTTCGGTTGCAGGTTTGGTAGGGGCGGGGGTGTGTGATTGGTCAGCACGTCATTTTGTGAATAGGGGCATGTTTCTACAGACCCGAATATCAAGCAAATAGGAGCTGAAATTTTGGATCCCAGAATCCGCGCGCTCTATAGCACGCTGTAATTTGCGATCAATTCGGTTCAGTTCGGTATTCACAAATTTCATAAAGCCGTGTTTCGCACCGATTCCGTTGGACTATGCCCTTCTTGGTGGTTGGATGGAGGTGTTGTAACCAACACTTGTTACTGTATATGCTAAAACGTTTTCGATATATCTCAGTGTGTGTCTTGGATTTGTTTAGTAGATTAAATCGCTTTCCATGGGAACTTGGCTTTCTGAATGTATCTAGACTAATATGACTTTATGCTAAAGATAAAAAGCTACTCTTGTTGCTAAAATTGGTGCCAAGTTCATGTACTCTTACAGAACGACCGACAAGTCGTTCATAACCTGAAAAGGTCGCATATATATGTGGCAGGAACAATGTAACAAACTTGAGGGAGAGAAATTGCGACCCCAAAATTCAATTTGGCTTTACAACCCTGGACCAACTCAGTTGCAAGGTGTCGTTCATATATGTAGGGTTACATAATTTCCATTTTCTGCAGCCGTCGTAGATGATGCTAGAGAAGAAACATGGTTAGCATTTGCCAATAACGACTGAATGTCTGAATGCGTGGCCGCACGGAGATCACCCACAGAATGTGGTTTGTTGAGAGATGCACGGGGGAGTGAGTGGATAGGTTTGGGGTGAAGTCTGGCTTTTAACGGAGAGGTTGTCCAAGGTGAGCTTGACTGGCAATCATGTGCCACCCGGTAGGCTGCGAGAGAGTGGGGAGGAGGGGAGGGGGGGAGGGAAGGGGGGGGAGGGGGGGAGAAAGAGATGGGGGCATACGTTAGTGGGGGGGGCGGGGGGTTGAGAGGGGTTAGTTATAGAGTGTTTTCTGCCTGTCCTGTTGGTGCAACCTTATGGCTTGCACTCGGCTTGTCGTCCTTGTTTGTGTGTGTGCATGCATGGCATGGAATGAATTGTGAGTCTATGTCATTGCTATCCAGTGCTTTTGTGTGTGTTTGAATGGTGTATCACAATGTGGTTTGTGTCGGTCAAGACATTAGCGAGTTTTTACAACTCGCATGTCAAGTCGTCGTTTGTGTGTCGCATGTGTTTTTTCTATTTTGTCGAGTGTGAAGTGTCCATCGTGTTGCAGGTGTGTGCAGCAAGCCCCCATCAACTCAAGAAGAATTTATCTTGCAGATCCAAGAACAAGAGCTCAAGATTTCAAGCCCAAGGGACGCGGATAAATATTAAATAGTGAAAATAGTAACGTTACTTCGTGTAGTGTTACATTTCACTTGGTGTAGCCCCTTGGAGGGTTGGTTTCGAGACTCTTCATGGTTGGGGACTCTGTGGTGGTGTACCACCAACCTGGACCTCGGCTCTTGGGGTATGAAGAGGCTGGGAACCACATCCCTCTCGAACTCTTCTTGCTAAGTTTTGTACTTCCAAGACTATAGTGGCTCCTATTCCTCCTGCCAGTCAAACCGCCATAGCGTCGTCAAAGCTTCATGGAAATTCATGATTCAACTTGCTGCTGATAGACGACAGCAACGCGCTCCAGATCCAACTTACAGATCATAGTTTGACTCAGCCAGCAGATCGTTATCAATATTTGAAGCCGTCTGACGGAAATCCGACTGTGCTCTCTATCTCTCATTATAGGCACATCTGAGCCTATTGTGACTATAACAAGTGGTATCAGAGCCCCTTGGAGCCGTCTCGACCATGCCTAGACCTGAGGAAGGGGGTGGCAGAGGTGCTGGAGGCAGAGAAGACGCCCAAGCACAAGGTCAACACCAAGATTCACCCGTTGCTCCGGTGCAACCTAGCCTTGGACCCTCTAGGGATGAGCCTAGAGTGTTTGGCCTTGACAAGTTCAACGGTGACAACTTTGCTGAGTGGTCCTTCAAGATGGAGAACATCTTTGACCACTATGATCTGCTAGGAGGTGATGGAAGGAACGGAGAAGCGCCCCGAGAACGACCCGGAGAAGAGCCCGTGGGTGCGGAAGAGCGCACAAGGCTACCTTCTACTTGGGCAAGCGTTGGGGAGCAGCCAAATCCGTCACATCAAGCCTTTTCAGCGTGAACCAGCAAAGGGACCAAAGGCATGGGCTGCTCTCAAGGGTGTACACACTCCTGCAACAGCGGCGGTGGCTGTGGTTTTGGAGCGGCAAATGGCGGCACTTCGAATTGACGAAGGCGAACCGGTGGAGGAAGGAGTGCAGAAATTCTTCGACTTGTTGACACGGCTCGAAGGAGCTGACCTGAACTACAGTGACCTTCAAAAGAAGACCAAGCTGTTGGCCTTACTTCCGGACTCATGGTCCTCGCTCATCATCAACCTTAATCGAGATCTGCCCCGTCTCTCACTCGAAGATGTGAAGCGGGAAATCTTACAAGAAGATTTCCGCCGTCGCGAATTGGCGGGTCCCGATGGTGCCGGAGTTGCAAGCATGGGCCGTGGGCACGGCCGTGGAAGGGGCAGAGGGCGAGGAGGAAGATTTGGCAGCAGTAACTTCAATGGAGGCCGTGGTAATGGAGGATATGGCAGCAACAACAACAACAATGGCTACGGGCGTGGGCGCGGTCGATTTGATGGCGAATGCCACTTTTGCCACAAGACCGGCCACATGTGGAGAGATTGCTTCAGATTGCCTGATGGATGGACCCCTTCTCAAGGCCAAGAGGGCAGAGGAGCAAGGGGAGGAAGAGGCAGAGGTCATGGAGGCCGTGGTGGTCGTGGAAGCGAAGCGGCAAGCATGAAAGGTGGAGACTACGACAAGGACTCGAGTGAAGATCGATACCCGGGCCAATTCTTCTTTGTCTCCACGCAAGCGACAGCTGCAGCAGGAGGTGTGGAAGGCTTTGAGGAGCCAGCTACTGTGGGAAAGGTCACCCTTCACTCTCTGGACTTTTGGGTGATCGATAGCGGCGCCACCTACAGCATGACACCTCGTGCGGACTTGCTCACCGAACTCGAACCGTCGCCGGTCAAGCATGTTACATCGGCTTTGGGGCAGCGAGCAGAGGTGAAGGGCATGGGCAAGGCCATGTTCAAGGGTGCTGATGGGAAGATGGTGGGCCTCAAGAACGTGCTTTTGGTGCCCAACCTAGCAGCCAACCTGATTTCCGTTCGGCGTTTGCAAAAGGCCGGCATGGACACATCTTCCAAGGGATCCAAAACCTATACCGCAAGGCTTGGTGAGCGGAAGCTTTGGGACCTTCATGAGGACAGGGACATCTACAATGAGATGTGGCAAATCCCAGTGGTCCCCATGCCTAAAGAGAGGCAAGTGGCAGCAAGCGTCAGCACCAAGCGTGAAGCGGTTGGTGGCGGTGATCACGGAAAGCAAAGTGACACCAAGAGTGACTCGAAGGAGTGCAACCTTGGAGAGACCAGCAAGGCGTGTGAACCCAAGGAGAATGGTGCAGCAGCCAAAGGTGGTGGAAATGAGGAGGAGAAGGCTAAGATCAACAAAGCAGCAGCGGCGAAGGAGAAAGGAGAGAGCTTGTGGGGCACAATTGCGAGTGCCGCTTTCTCCAACCCGACTTCCGCTACGGGAGAGTGTGATTGGCTGACCTTGCATCGGCGAATGGGGCATGTGGCATTGCCCATTTTGCAGCAGATTGTTAAGCAAGAGATGGTCAGTGGGATACGTGTCAAGGGGGAGCCCAATGAGGTGCTTGGCTGTCCAACATGCATGCAAGCCAAGTTCACCCGCTACCCGTTCCATAGCTCGGAGACAACGGCGAAGGCACCACTTGATGAGGTGGTGATGGATGTGGTGGGCCCCTTGAAGCTTGGAGCTGCTGGAGCAGAGTACTTCCTCACCATTGTGGACGTCTACACTCGCATGACTTGGGTGTATGTACTGCCCAAGAAGAGTGACGTAGCTGAAACGGTGAAGACCGATTGGTTGCCGATGGTGGAGCGGCAACAAGACCGACTTGTGAAGGCGATTCGCACTGACCGTGGGGGAGAGTTCCTGAGCAAGGATTTCTCAACTTGGCTGAAGAAGCAGGGCATAAGGCACTCTCTTACCATGCCCTACTCTCCTGCAATGAACGGCATCGCCGAGCGTGCGAATCGGACACTCACGGAGACGGCTCGGGGACTTCTCATTGAAGCCGGTCTACCCAATTACTTTTGGCCGGATGCGGTGCGGCATGCTTGTGTGGCCAAGAACAGAGCCTTGACTCATGTGGGAGAAGACAAATGGGTGCCCTATGTGGAGTGGATTGGAAGGAAGCCGAAGGTGGATATGCTTCGGGTGTTCGGGTGCATGTGCATGGCACTTGTGCCTAAGAAACTTCGGCACAACAAGCTTGATGCCAAGGCAACATGGGCCGTGCACCTGGGCATGGCCCAAAACAGCAAGGGATGGCTTCTATGGGACCCATTTACCAAGAAGTTCCTGGTGAGCAGAGATTGCAAGTTCATGGAGAACTTACCGTACAAGGAGTGGAAGGCGGAGAACCAAGCGAAGATTGGTGTGCGGCTTGGAGAGGTGAAGAGGACCGGCTTGGAGCATGTGGAGCTGCCCTTGGAGCTGAGTAGCAGCAGCACAATCACGAGGCAATCTCCCCAAATGAATGGGGATGAGGAGGAGGAGGAGGTGCAGCAAGGTAATGAGCGTGCACCGCCACTTCCGCCTCGTGCTACAAGTGCTCGCGGGAACCGACCGGACTTACCGCAAAGCCATGAGAGCATTCAAGTCCCTGCAGCAGAGGAGGAAGGAAGGGGGAGAAGGAGGACTCAGCCCCCAATAGGTTGAGCTATGAACGGCTTGGAGGACCAGCCAACTCAACCTTGACCGGTTCGGCTCTCATGCTAGGTGATGATGCGGAAGATGAAAGCGAGGAGTGCGCCTTTGCCTTCTTCTCTCCGGTGGAGATACCGGGGAGCCTACAAATCCCAAGGAGGCTTGGGAGGGCCCCAATGGGAAGGAGTGGAAGAAGGCCTCAGATGAAGAAATGGGGAGCATCATCGAGAACGACACGTTTGACTTGGTGAACCTACCTCCGGGGCGTAAGGCGATTTCTTCCAAGTGGCTCTTCAAGCGCAAGACCGACGCCGACGGCAACATTGAGCGCTACAAGAGCAGACTTGTAGCCAAGGGGTACCAGCAGCAGGAGAAGAAGGACTACAATGAAGTGTATGCTCCTGTGGTGAAGGGTACAACCCTTCGAACTCTCTTCGCCGCGGCGGCCATCAAAGGATGGGTGGTGAAGCAAATGGACATTGTAACGGCCTTCCTCAACGGCGTTTTGGAGGAAGAGACCTACATGGAGCAGCCAGAGGGGTACAATGATGGGAGTGGCAGAGTGTGGAAGCTGAAGAAAGCACTCTATGGCCTCAAGCAAGCCCCTAGGCAATGGTACATCAAGCTGCGGGAAGTCTTGGAGGCGATCGGCTTCACTCCCTCAACGGCCGATCAATCCTTGTTCATGCTTGGCGAGGGGGAGCAGAGGAGCTTCATGGTGGTTTATGTGGATGACATCCTCATATTCTCACCCTCCTCTGACCTTGTGAAGGAGGTGATGCTGAAGCTTCAAGACAAGTTCAAGTGCAAGACCCTTGGTGACGTCAACTACTACCTTGGGCTTCACATTGAGCGAGATGTGGAGAAGCGGTGGATGCGAGTGCATCAAAAGAAGTACTTGGAGGCCTTGGCTGCAAACTTTGGGAAGAGTGAAGGTCATGTGGCTACTCCTCTTCCCTCAGGGTTCAAGTGTGTGAAAGGACCAGCGGAGGAAAGTGTTGGTGAAGAGGAGAGGCGCCGTTTTCACTCCTTGGTGGGCAGCCTCATGTATGCGGCCGTTCACACAAGGCCGGATGCAGCCTTTGCTACCGGGCAGCTGGCTAGGGTTGTCCAATGCCCTAATGAGGAGCAGGTAGCAGCTGGAGAGAGGGTGGCCAAGTACCTTGGCCAAACAGCAACTGTTGGACTGCAATACTCCGCGGCGGCACAAAGGCGTCAAAAGGGTGCGGATGGAGTCGAACCCGGGAGGCTCTTTCTCACCGCCTTCTCTGATGCATCTTGGGCATCAGAACCAGAGGACATGACAAGTGTGGGAGGCTTCATCTGCTGTGTTGGTGGAGGCCAACAGCTTGGGAGAGCAAGAAACAAGTGGACCAAGCATTGAGCTCGGTGGAGTCCGAGTACATGGCACTCTTCCGTGCCATAAGAGAGGTTGTGTGGCAGCGGCGTTTGCTAGCTGAATTGGGGGAGGAGCAGCAAGGACCTACCCCACTCTACTGTGATAGCCAGGGTGCTATTGCATTGGCTAAGAACCCCGTTCTTCATGGCCTTACCAAGCACATGAAGGTGAAGTGGCATTGGGTGAGGAGCATGGTAACCGCGGGTGAAGTGGAGTTGCACTACGTGAAGACGACGGCGCAGCCTGCTGATATGATGACCAAGAGGCTGGTTGAGCAGCAGCATTGGAAGTGTTGCAAGCTTGCTGGGATGGCTCTGAACTAAGGGGAGCAGATTCTAAGGCCAACAATCCGAGGGGGAGTTTGTTGGTGCAACCCTATGGCTTGCACTCGGCTTGTCGTCCTTGTTTGTGTGTGTGCATGCATGGCATGGAATGAATTGTGAGTCTATGTCATTGCTATCCAGTGCTTGTGTGTGTGTTTGAATGGTGTATCACAATGTGGTTTGTGTCGGTCAAGACATTAGCGAGTTTTTACAACTCGCATGTCAAGTCGTCGTTTGTGTGTCGCATGTGTTTTTTCTATTTTGTCGAGTGTGAAGTGTCCATCGTGTCGCAGGTGTGTGCAGCAAGCCCCCATCAACTCAAGAAGAATTTATCTTGCAGATCCAAGAACAAGAGCTCAAGATTTCAAGCCCAAGGGACGCGGATAAATATTAAATAGTGAAAATAGTAACGTTACTTCGTGTAGTGTTACATTTCACTTGGTGTAGCCCCTTGGAGGGTTGGTTTCGAGACTCTTCATGGTTGGGGACTCTGTGGTGGTGTACCACCAACCTGGACCTCGGCTCTTGGGGTATGTAGAGGCTGGGAACCATCTCCCTCTCGAACTCTTCTTGCTAAGTTTTGTACTTCCAAGACTATAGTGGCTCTATACCTCCTGCCAGTCAAACCGCCATAGCGTCGTCAAATCTTCATGGAAATTCATGATTCAACTTGCTGCTGATAGACGACAGCAACGCGCTCCAGATCCAACTTACAGATCACAGTTTGACTCAGCCAGCAGATCGTTATCAATATTTGAAGCCGTCTGACGGAAATCCGACTGTGCTCTCTATCTCTCATTATAGGCACATCTGAGCCTATTGTGACTATAACATGTCCTGCCGGGATCCCGCTCACACTTACTGCCCTCCCCCTCCCTTGCTTCATGCCACTCCCCCTCCTCTGTCCTCATGCCTCTCCGCCTCCCCTGCCCTCATGCATCTCCCTCTCCACTGCCCTCATGCCTATCTGCCTCCCTCTCCTCATGCCTCTTTCCCTCCCCATCTCCTCCAGCTGTCCCTGCCTCTCACGCCCTCACGCCTCTCCCACTCCTGCTCTCACTCCTACCCCCTACCCTCTCTGCACTCCATCTTTCCCCACTCTCCTGCACTCATGCCACTCCCCTCCCTACCCTAACACCCTCCCCCTCCCATGCCCCCACGCCTCTTCCTCCCCCGCCCTCACGCCTCTTCCCCTCCCCATCTCCTCCAGGCTGCACTCTCCCTTTCCCACTCTCCTACTCGTACCCCTCTTTCCCTTCCCTTCTCTCACCTCTCGCTCCCTCCACGGCTCTTGCGCCTTCCCACATCCCCCTTATCACGCACCTCATTACCTCAATGCTCTCCATCTCTCCCCTCCCCTACTCTTACGCCTCTCCCCCTCCCCTGCACTCACGCCTGCTCTCATGCCTCACTCTCTCCCTGCTCTCATGCCTCACTCCCTCCCTGCTCTCGTGCCTCACTCCCTCCTTGCACTCATGCCTCACTCCCTCCCTGCTCTCACGCCTTCCCCCCTCCACTGCTCTTGTGCCCCTCTCCCTCGCTCCTCGCATCTCCCCTAGCTACTATCTGTTGTCTTCCCCATCCCTGCGGCCTCGCTTTCTTCCCTGCTGCTGCGCCTTGACCCTTGATCTGTTTTCATTCAATGAGAAGGCAGGGGATTGCGGCGCGCGAAAAAGCGGGTAACACGTTACAACGTGGGAAAGAGGGAAGCGACCCGCAAGAGAAATCAGGAAGCGGTCCGCGAGGTGAAGCGAGCGAAGCAAAGCGAAGGGAAGCGAAGCTAAGCGAAGCGAAGCTAAGAGAAGCAAAGCGAAGTAAAGCGAAGCTAAGCAAAGCAAAGTGAAGCTAGCGAAGCAAAGAGAAGCAAAGAGAAGGGAAGCAAAGAGAAGCAAAGCAAAGCTACGCGCAGCTATGCGAAGCGAAGCGAAGCTAAGCGAAGCTAAGTGAAGCTAAAGCAAAGTTAAGCGAAGCGAAGTGAAGCTAAGAGAAGCGAAGCGAAGTGAAGCTAAGAGAAGCGAAGCTAAGCGAAGCGAAGCGAAGCTAAGCGAAGCAAAGCAAAGTTAAGCAAAGCTAAGCGAAGCGAAGCTTAGCGAATCGAAGCGAAGCTAAGCGAAGCTAAGCGAAGAGAAGCGAAGCGAAGCTAAGCGAAGCGAAGCGGAGCTAAGCGAAGCTAAGAGAAGGGAAGCGAAGCTAAGCGAAGCAAGGCAAAGCTAAGCGAAGCTAAGGGAAGCGAAGAGAAGAGAAGGAAAGAGAAGCGAAGCAAGCTAAGCGAAGCTAAGCGAGTGTAGCGAAGCTAAGGGAAGCGAAGCAAAGCGAATCTAAGCGAAGCGAAGCGAAGCTAGGCGAAGCTAGGCGAAGCGAAGCAAAGAGAAGCAAGAGAAGCGAAGCGAAGAGAAGCGAAGCTAAGAGAAGCAAAGCAAAGCTAAGCGCAGCTATGCGAAGCGAAGCGAAGCTAAGCAAAGCTAAGGAAGCAAACCGAAGCTAAGGGAAGCGAAGCGAAGCTAAGCGAAGCTAAGCGAAGCGAAGAGAAGCGAAGCAAAGCGAAGCAAAGCTAAGTGAAGCAAAGCGAAGCGAATCGAAGCGAAGAGAAGCATAGTGAAGCGAAGCGAAGAGAAGCGAGCTAAGAGAAGCACAGCGAAGCTAAGCGAAGCAAATCTAAGCTAAGCGAAGTGAAGCTAAGTGAGCGAAGCAAATCGAATCTAAGCTAAGCGAAGCGAATCCAAGCGAACCTAAGCAAAGCGAAGCTAAGCGAAGCAAAGCGAAGCTAAGCAAGTGAAGCGAAGCTAAGCAAAGCTAAGCGAAGCGAAGCGAAGAGAAGCATAGATAAGCGAAGCGAAAAGAAGCGAAGCTAAGAAAGCAAAGCAAAGCTAAGCGCAGGTATGCGAAGCGAAGCGAAGCTAAGCAAAGCTTAGCAAAGCGAAGCGAAGCTAAGGAAGCAAAGCGAAGCTAAGCGAAGCGAAGCCAAGCGAAGCTAGGCGAAGCGAAGCGAAGCCAAGCGAAGCTAGGCGAAGCGAAGCGAAGCCAAGCAAAGCTAGGCGAAGCGAAGCAAAGCCAAGCGAAGCTAGGCGAAGCGAAGTGAAGCTAGGCGAAGCTAAGCGAAGCAAAGCGAAGCTAACCAAAGCTAAGCGAGCTAAGCAAATCTAAGCCAAGCTAAGCGAAACTAAGAGAAGCGAAGCAAAGCTAAGCGAAGTGAAGCGAAGCAAAGTGAAACGAAGCAAAGTTTAGCTAAGCTTAGCGAAGAGAAGCGAAGTGAGCCAAGCGAAGCTAAACGAAGCGAAGCGAAGCAAAACGAAGCTAAGCGATGCCAAGCAAAGTGAAGCTAAGCGAAGCAAAGCGAAGTTAAGCGAAGCTAAGCGATGCTAAGCAAAGGGAAGCGAAGAGAAGCAAAGCGAAGCCAAGCGAAGCTAAGCGAAGCTAAGAGAAGCAAAGCCAAGCGAAGGTAACGAAGCTAAGCGAAGCGAAGCGAAGCTAAGCGAAGCTAAGCAAAGCGAAGCTAAGCGATGCTAAGCGAAGCGAAGCGAAGAGAAGCGAAGCGAGGCAAACCGAAGCTAAGCGAAGCGTAGCTAAGCGAAGCTAAGAGAAGCGAAGCAAAGCGAAGGGAAGCGAAGCTAAGCGAAGCGAAGCAAAGAGAAGCATAGAGAAGCGAAGCGAAAAGAAGCGAAGCTAAGAAAAGCAAAGCAAAGCTAAGCACAGGTATGCGAAGCGAAGCGAAGCTAAGCGAAGTGAAGCGAAGCTAAGGGAAGCGAACCGAAGCTAAGGGAAGCGAAGCGAAGACAAGCGAAGCTAAGCGAAGCTAGGCGACGCGAAGTGAAGCTAGGCGAAGCTAAGCGAAGCAAAGCAAAGCTAAGCGAAGCTAGGCTAAGCTAAGCGAAGCGAAGCGAAGCTAAGCGAATCAAAGCGAAGATAAGCGAAGCGAAGCTAAGCGAAACTAAGCGAAGCTAAGCGATGCAAAGTGAAACAAAGCAAAGCTTTGCTAAGCTTAGCTAAGCTTAGCGAAGCGAAGCAAAGCTAAGGGAAGCGAACCGAAGCTAAGGGAAGTGAAGCGAAGCTAAGCGAAGCTAGGCGAAGCGAAGTGAAGCTAGGCGAAGCTAAGCGAAGCTAAGCGAAGCGAAGCGAAGCTAAGCGAATCTAAGCGAAGCAAAGTGAAACGAAGCAAAGCTTAGCAAGGCGAAGCGAAGTAAAGCTAAGCGAAGCTAGGCGAAGCTAAGCAAAGGGAAGCGAAGCTAAGAGAAGCTAAGCGAAGCTAAGCGAGGCAAAGCGAAGCTAAGCGAAGCGAAGCGAGGCTAAGCAAAGCGAACAGGAAGCTAAGCGAAGCGAAGCAAAGCTAATCGAAGCGAAGCTAATCGAAGCGAAGGTGAAGCTCTGCGAAGCTAAGCGAAGCGAAGCGAAGCTAAGCGAAGCGAAGTGAAGAGAAGCTAAGCGAAGCGAACACGAAGCTAAGCAAAGCTAATCGAAGCGAAGCCAAGCGAAGCTAAGCGAAGCGAACACAAAGCTAAGCGAAACTAAAAGAAGCGAAGAGAAGCGAAGCGAAGCTAAGCAAAGCGAACCGAAGCTAAGCAAAGCTAAGAGAAGCGAAGCGAAGCTAAGCGAAGTGAAGTGAAGCTAAGCGAAGCTAAGGGAATCGAAGTGAAGCTAAGCAAAGTTATGCGAAGCGAAGCGAAGCTAAGCGAAGCTAAGCGAAGCTAGCGAGTCTAAGCAAAGCGAACAGGAAGCTAAGCGAAGCGAAGCGAAGCTAATCGAAGCAAAGCTAATCGAAGCAAAGATGAAGCTAAGCGAAGCGAAGCGAAGCTAAGCGATGCAAAGCGAAGCGAAGCGAAGCTAAGCGAAGCGAAGTGAAGAGAAGCTAAGCGAAGCGAACACGAAGCTAAGTGAAGCTAATCAAAGCGAAGCGAAGCGAAGCGAAGCGAAGCTAAGCGAAGCGAACACAAAGCTAAGCGAAACGAAAAGAAGCGAAGAGAAGCGAAGCGAAGCTAAGCAAAGCGAACTGAAGCTATGCGAAGCCAAGAGAAGCGAAGCGAAGCGAAGCGAAGCTAAGCGAAGTGAAGTGAAGCTAAGCGAAGTTATGTGATTCGAAGCGAAGCTAAGCAAAGCTAAGCGAAGCTAAGCGAAGCTAAGCGAAGCGAAGCTAATCGAAGCGAAGCTGAGCGAAGGTAAGCAAAGCTAAGCGAAGTGAAGCAAAGAGAAGCAAAGAGAAGCAAATCGAAGAGAAGCGAAACGTAAAGAATCAAAGCAAAGTTAAGCGCAGCTATGCGAAGCGAAGCAAAGCTAAGCGAAGCTAAGCGAATCTAAGGGAAGCGAACCGAAGCTAAGGGAAGCGAAGTGAAGAGAAGCAAAGAGAAGCGAAGCGAAGCTAAGTGAAGCTAAGCGAAGCAAAGAAAAGCATAGAGAAGCGAAGCGAAGCTAAGAGAATCAAAGCGAAGCTAAGCGTAGGTATGCAAAGCGAAGCGAAGCTAAGCAAGCTAAGCGAAGCTAAGGGAAGCGAACCGAAGCTAAGGGAAGCGAAGCGAAGCTAAGCGAAGCTAAGCGAAGCGAAGCAAAGCAAAGTGAAATGAAGCAAAGCTAAGCGCAGCGAAGCGAAACAAAGCAAAGCGAAGCGAAGCAAAGCGAAGCG